TGATATTTTACAAAAAATGTTTTCCATGATTTTATACAGTCTTCATGATGACCATTTTTAATGGCTGCAAACATTCCATTGGGATGATATACCATAATTTATTACATTGTTTCCTTAATATCAGGCACTTTGTTTCCAATTTTTGGCAGTGCTAAAATTCTGAGGGATTGTAACATTAGTAGCTTTCTCTCATAATTTTAAGGAAAGATGTTTATGACTTTGAAGGAATGAGAAAGAAAATATCTAAGTGCAGAGCCTATTAAAAATATGCTCAGGCTAGTGCCTAATATTAATGAAGAATAATAGAGAGTGACAAAAGAATGTTGAGAAGTAATTTTCCATTATTGTTAACAACAATAATGCAGTTTTATTATATTTTATATATACTTCATAGTTTACAAAAGCAGTTTCACTACATAAACACATACACATATAACAATCTTACAAGGTAGGAAGGGCAGTGAAAATCAAGGGAGATTACATGACTTGTTTGGGAATACACAACGATAGATTCAGAATTTGGACTCATGTCAGTCCAAAAGCTGACTACTTTTAGTTGAAGACCGATACAATTCAGATATCACACTGAATGAAAAACAGAATAAAGCTATGAACTGAACTGTGTCTTCCCAAGATTCATATGTTAAAGCCCCAACCCCCAATGTGACATATTCTCTCCCCCACCCTCCCAAGCCCTGACATAAGGACACAGAAAGAAGGTGGCTGTCTATAAGCCAGGAATAGAATCCTCCTTTCCAGAACTGGGAGGAAATAAATTTCTGTTGTTCCTAAAGCCATCCAGTCTATGGTATTTTGTTATGGCAGCCCAAGCAGACTAAGACCTTGTTACTGAGAAGTGGGGCACTGCTGTAACCAATACCCAAAAATGTAGAAGTGGGTTTGGAATTGGGTAGCAGCTGAAAGAGTTTTAAGACTCATAATAGAAAAAGCCTAGATACTTATGAACAGACTGTTGCTAGAAATATGGACATTAAGGGTGATTCTGGTGAGGTCTCGGAAACGAGGAACATATTATTAGAAAATAGAAAAAAAGGTGAGATTTCTAATAAAATGGCAAAGAACCTGGCTAAACTGTGTTCCAGTATTTTGCGAAAGGTAGAACTAGTGAGCAATGAAATTGGATATTTAGCTGAGAGACTTCTAAATAAAGGGTTAAAGGAACGACTTGTTTCCTCTTGGCTGCTTATAGTAAAGTGCAAAGGGAGAAAGAACTGAAGAAGGAATTGTTAAGCAAAAACGAACCAGGGCTTGAAGATTTAGAAAACTCTCAACCTACTCACAGATTGGGAAGGCCGGGAGGAACCTGCTCAGTGCCTCAGGGGTAGGCTGCCCTGGCAGAGAGTCATGTGGGCGGGGCCCCTACAAAGAGCCAAAGGATCAGGGTGCCCAGCAGAGCCACAGCGGTGATGCTATTATCTCAGTGGGCCTGGAGGGCAGAGTACTGAGTCAAAGAGGATTATTCTTGAGCCTTAATATCTAACAGAATTTGCCTTGCAAGGTTTTGGACTTGCTTGGGACCCATCATCCTTTCCTTCCTTCTGATTTCTCCCTTTTAGAATGGGATTGTGTGTCCTATCCTTGTCCGCCACTGTATTTTGGAAGCACATAACTTGACTAGTTTCACACGTTTACAGTTGGAAAGGAAATTTGTCTCAGGATTTAACAGACCTTGAATTTCACACATATCTCATTTAGATAATATTTAGATGAGACTTTGGACTTTAGACTTCAGAGTTGATGCTAGAATGAGTTAAGACCTTTGGGGCTGTTGGGATGGACTGAACATATTTTGCATGTGTTAAGAACATGAATTTGGGGGGACCAGGAGCAGAATGCTATGGACTGAATTGTGAACCCCCCAATTCATATGTTGACGTGTTAACCCCCAATGTTACTATATTTAGAGATAGGGCCTACAAAGAGGTAATTAGGGTTAAATGAGATCACAAGGGTGGGGCCTTGATATGGATTAGTGTCCTTATAAGAAGAGACACTAGACAGCCCCCACCCCTTCAGCCACGTGGGGACTTAGGAAGAAGGCAGCCAGCTGCAAGGCAGAAAGAGAGCCCTGACTAGAAACTAAATCAGCTGGAAACTTGATCTTGCACTTTCCAGCATTCGGAACTGTGAGAAAATAAATTTATGTTGTTTAAGCCATCCAGTCTTAGTATTTTGTTACGGCTAAGACAACACCCAAAGTTAAGATCTTAGTACTCTATCACTGCAGTGGACTCGTTATTTAAGGGGTAGTATCCTTTGGTTTTCAAATTGTTAAATTCTAGCACCAACTTCCTTTTGTAACATTTGAAAAGACCTTTCAGTCTCTTCAACAGACATAGAGAAGAGACTTGTGGTTGTGGAGTTGGCAGGGGGTGTGGGGTGTGGGATGTGGGTAGGGGGAGGGAGGGAGGGGCTGGGAGTTTGGGGTTACTAGATGCAAACTATTACATATAGAATGGATGGACAACAAGGTCCTACTGTATAGCACAGGGAACTATATTCAATGTCCTAGGATAAATCATAATGGAAAAGAATATAAGAAAAGAATGTATATATATGTATAACTGAGTCACCTTGTTGTACAGCAGAAATTAACACGTTGTAGATCAACTATACTTCAATTAAAACAAAAAGAGAGAGAGAAAGACAGTCATACGTGTTAAGCTACTCTAAATTCCATTAGTACGGAAAGGGATATTTTAAGAAGACAAACAGTAAAAAGTTGTTTGTGTGAGCCAACTGCTGGTCTTTTTTGCTTATCTCTGCAAAGGCAGGGTTCACAGTGTGCTAGGAGTTTATTCCTTTAAGGTTGTACTATCAACTGGATCCTTCTACAAACGCCTAGAGGGTCTTCAAGGAGACATTTATAGTCACCATTTAGTGCAAAACATCCTTTCCCAAACCTGCCAAGAACCCTCAGTATATAACCACTTGCCACCTGTTCTTTGGAGATTGCTTTTGCATCATTACAAGCAAAGAAATCGATACCAAACCATTGATTTGGGAAAGAGACAGGATTGCACAGCAATAATACATAAAGTTAGTCAAGCCCTACTTCTTAGTTGTTTTGAACAACAGATAGTTCAATGTCCCTTTCTGAAATAGGTACTCATCTTGCTTGCACTGGCGATCTTGTAGCAATACAGGCCCAAGATAGATGAGGCCCCGTAACTCCAACCGGTGTAACAGCTCTTGAATGCTACACAGTATCTCAAAATTCCTTTTTAGACTCAACAGTAATGTGTTAACTTGAATCTAGATCCTCTCTCTGCAGTTTACCCCTCAGTTTAATTTAAAAAGTGTGCGCTGGGGCACAGGGTCACTCTGCGAGTGTCACCAGAGGGTGAAGTGGCTTAGGTGCTGCAAATGCAGGGAGCAGCCAGCTGAAGGTCTGGTGCAAAAATATATTCTGTCTTGATAGACAGGCAAGACCAATCGTTTACCTTATCCATTAATTTACTAAGACACCATCTGGTCTTTCTAAGTCAAATTAACACGTACAAGTCCTTTAGATATGTTAATTAGTTTTGAACCAGTGAACAGAATCAGTAAAAAGGGACTATGGGAAGGGAGAACACTACCTTAAGTTTACACAGAGCTTTATGTTTTTAGAAACTCTTTCACATGCATTATCTTACTTGATCCTAACCTCAATCCCACAAAGTAGATGGATCATTGTTGTAAACATCTGAAAGAGGAGGAAACTGAGGCTCAAAAGATTGTTGTTCTCCTAAAATAATCTAGGGAAGAAGCTAAGGGATAGTGAAATAAGTGAATACCTATCAGGGGCATTTTGTTCTCTTTTAGCCAAACGGCCCCATAAGATGGGTATCATTATTATTCCTTTCTAAAGCTGAGGAAACTGAGACTTAGAATAGCAACTTATAACAGGGCTACTAAGTGGCAGAGTCAGGATTTGAATCCAGATCTTTTGGACTTCAAAGTCCATGCTTTATTTATTACATTGATGAAGCCTATGGCTTACTGTTACAGTGAATGTAATTGCTCAAGAGTTCTTGATTTTAAGAGTTTTAGCGTTCTTAAAGAAGTGTGTTGTCTGGTATGGGTGATATACATTTAAGAAGTTAATATGTGACATAACAGACAAAGTGTAGGCTATGGAGTCAGAGAGATCTGTGTTTAAATCCTAGCTCTACTAATTGCTAGCTGTGTGACCCTAAGCTTTATTCTCCTCATCTGTTAAATGGATAAAAAGATCTTAACCCCATGAAGTCGATGTGAAGATTAAATTATATAACACTAAAAAGTTCCTGGTACATCAACAAATATTGGTTACCTTCCTCTATAAAAATGTTTCTCCAGGGCTTCCCTGGTGGCTCAGTGGTTGAGAGTCCGCCTGCCGATGCAGGGGACATGGGTTTGTGCCCCGGTCTGGGAAGATCCCACGTGCCGCGGAGCGGCTGGGCCCGTGAGCCATGGCCGCTGAGCCTGTGCGTCCAGAGCCTGTGCTCCGCAATGGGAGAGGCCACAGCAGTGAGGCCTGAGTACCGCAAAAAAAAAAAAAAAGCTTCTCCAGGAAGCAGAGGAGTTAGAAATTAGGGATAGACAAGAGTCTCTTATTTGCTAGAGGATAAAGACAGAAGTATAGAATGGAAGGCACATAACAGACCTCATTTGTACAGGAAATCTTTGCAAACAATCACAGCTCAAGTACTACCTACTTCAAGAAGAATTCTCTGGCATCAAGAGTCTGGGTTAAGGTCCTTCTAAGCTCCCACAGAATTCTGTTTACTTCTATCTTAGCATTCAATATACTGTGTTATGTCTGTCTCTTTACATATCTGTTTTCTCCTCTAGATGATAAGTTAACCTCTCTTTTATCACAATATCTGGTGTAAGGTAGATGCTCAGTAAGTTTTTGCTGATTGGAGGAATGAAGAAAAATAAAATAAAACCAGACCCATCTCAATAACAGTGTGTCAGAGAAGATTAAAATCAGATTTGTAAAATTTTCTTACCTTGACTGCATAGTTATTAAGTGGATCTTTTGCATATGAAGCTGTGTAGTAAACTGCATCGCCTGCCTCACAACATGGCTTGTCACTGGTTAGCCTGAAGTCTGACCAGCTGTCCACCCCAAAACGGAGCTGGTCTTTCTGTCCAGCCATGAAGAGGTCTTCACATTTAATAGCCAGTTTCTTCAAGGCATCTGTATGAAGGCTTCGGATTTTACCCACCACTTCTTCACGATTCTCAAGTCCTCGATAAAGTGCTTGTCTCTGTGGCTTCTGGATACTCCGGCCCTGTCTACAAGAGGGACCACGCCGGCTGGACAGGGACTCTGTGCTATTGGAAAATCTATCCTTAATACTGAGAGTGGTTAAGCTGGAGATGCTGTTTGCTGCTGAGGGCACAGGTCTCTCCTTGTGCAAAGGTCTCTCCAAGGAGTCATAAGACTCAATGTCCAGTCCCTTGAGTTCATAACTGATTGAAGAGCCAGCACTGCTGGCATCCCAGTTGGGGTCGATATCATAGGTGGGATTAGCCATGACACAAAGAGTAGTTTCCAGGGATTTTTGGAGGTCTTTGGAGATTGGCTCTGTATTGGCTCTTATGATCATTTTCTTTGGCAGTGGGGGTGGTGTAGGTTGAGAAGCATTAGGTGCTTCTTGGTCTGTTTTCCCACCGAAGGCAATGGCATCATCCAAAGCTCCCTTAGGCTGCCGTGGATGCTTGGGAGGTATCATGGCTGCTCTAGATTGCCCTGTATTGTTTTAAAATAAAGAAAGAAAGGGAAAAGAAAGAATAAGTAAAGTTTTCATTCTTGTTACATAATTGAAACTTAAGCAGAAATAAGGGAGGTGGCCACGAGAATATAAGAAGTCAATGCTTTAATCCAAAAATGGTAAAAGAAAACAAAGAACAAATAGCTTCATTTAAAGGTAAGAGTTCAAGACTTGATGGAAGCAACAAATGTGAACAATGTCTCTGTACTTCTTTGCCATAGGAACAGGCCAATGGGCTTTGTTTTCAAGAAGGAATTCATATTCTCCATTCCTGGCCCCGAGAGTGCTGTATTCACCACTCTAGAGTACTAACGAGTGACAGACACTCAAATAACTGTACTGTGACAGAACAGAGATGATGGTATTTGTGCATAAAAAAAAATTACTTGGGAGCATTATTAAAAACAATTGGGATTAGCAAATGAGACCGCTAGACTGGTGCTCAGAAGATACTATTCTATTCTTTTAACTTTGTTCCAAAGTTACATTGTATTGTATAGAGCACTTGTCATTCTCCATCCAATACATATGAATACAATTTCATAAACCATATTATTTCACTTCACTACAGAGATGGATTCCAGCACCACTTAAACTGGTCTATGTATAAGATCCCTGAGATTGTGGTAAAGGGAACCATGTATATGAGCAGTCAAGTGCTGTTTCAAACATCTTTCACAAACTCTTACATGATTCTGTTTTATTTTGGGGGACATATAAACTGTGATTTGAGGGATGCTACTTTTGAAATTCTCTTACAACAAGCCCTAGTTACAGGACCAGTCATCTTTGTTTCCTTTCTAGAATTTATGCTTAGAAGAAGATAAAACGCATAAGTATGTGATCAGTGACACCTTCAGGACCTATTGTATAATGGGGAAGGAGCATTATTTTTTTAAAGACAGAGAAATATACCATGAAAGTTTAATAAAAGCTATTAAAATCAGTAATGTTACTAAAATGAAATCTCCACTCAATATTTCAGAGTTAGAGCATAATGCTCTGTTATGGGTGGAATTATGTGCTCTCTCCCAAAATATACTGAAGTCCTAACCTCTGGTACCTGTGAATGTGATCTTATTCGGAAATAGAATCTTTGTAGAGGTAATCAAGTTAAGATGAGGTCATTAGGGTGGGCCTCAATCCAATATGGCTGGTGTCCTTATAAGAAGGGGAAAATGTGATATAAAGACAGACAAACAGGGAGAACACCATGTGATGACAGAGGCAGAGACTGGAGTAATGCAGTTGCAAGCCAGGGATGCTAAGGATTGATGGCCACCACCAGATGCTAGGAAGAAATAAGGAAGGATTCTACCTAGAATCTCAGAGGGAACGTGACCTTGCTAACACCTTAATTCGCCTCCAAGCTGCCAGAACTACAGGAGAATAAATTTCTCTTGTTTTAAGCCACCCACTTTGTGGTACTTTGTTATAGAAGCCGTAGGAAACTATGCTACTACTGATGATTAGACAGAACAGAAGGCATCAGATGGTCTTGAGGATGATAATGAATAAAGATCGTGGCTTGTTTTATTAAAAATCACGTCCTTGTAGCAATGCCAAGGGGAAGCACCATACAAACTGTGATTGTAACAACAGTATACTCCATTTCCCACATATGCAACTCTCTTCAAGAACACCCAAGAGTTTACACAAACTATGACAACATATAAGCAAACCTAAGGATGCCCTTTCTCCATCAATGGCATGTAGCAATATTCTTTTTTTTTTTTTTTTTTTTTTTTGGCAGTACTCGGGCCTCTCACTGTTGTGGCCTCTCCCATTGCAGAGCACAGGCTCCGGACGCGCAGGCTCAGCGGCCATGGCTCACGGGCCCAGCCGCTCCGCGGCATGTGGGATCTTCCCGGACCGGGGCACAAACCCGTGTCCCCTGCATCAGCAGGCGGACGCTCAACCACTGCGCCACCAGGGAAGCCCAGCAATATTCTTTTCCAAGGAACAGAGCTACATTACATATAAATAAGAAATATGAATATATAGACAGCATGAGAATGAGACAGAGAAAGAGTATGAGAATGCTAAACTCTAAGAGGGCCAGGACTTTTGTTTTACTAATTGCTGTACCCTCTATGTCAAAAATCAGGGCCTGTATTTAATTGATGCTCAATAAATATTTCTTGAATGACTAAAGGAATAAATATTTAGGGCTAAAAGAGGCAAAACTGTATAGGTACCTGTAACAAGTAAAGATACTGAATTAATAATTTACAAAATCCCCACAAAGAAAAGTCCAGGACCATATGGCTTCATTGATGAATTCTACCAAACATTTAAAGAAGTATTAAAACCAATCATTCACCAACTCTTCCAAAAAATATAAAGGGAGGGAACACTTACCAACTTGAAACCTATGAAAGGCCAATATTACCTATATATCAAAACAAGAGAAAGACATTACAAGAAAACTATAGACTAATATCCCTTATTACTAGACACAAAAATCCTCACAAAATACTAGCAAACTGAATCCAGCAACATATGAAAAGGATTATGCATCACAACAAATTTGGATTTATCCCAGGAATGCAAGGTTGGTTTAACATCTGAAAATCAATCAATGTAATACACCATGTAAACAAAATAAACAGTGAAAAAACCTCACATGGTCAGCTCAACAGATGCGGAAAAAGCATTTCAGCAAATCCAATACTTTTCATAATAAAAACACCGAACAAACTGGGAAAAGAAGGGATCATCCTCATCCTGATAAAGGTCACCTATGAAAAACCAAGAGCTAAATTATACTTAATGGCAAAAGACTTGATTTTTCCCCACGAAGATCAGGAACAAGACAATGATTTCCATTCTTGTCACTTCTAGTCTACATTGTACTGGAGGACCTAGCCAGGGAAATCATGAAAGGAAAAGAAATAAGAACATGCAGATTGGAAAAGAGGTAAAATTATCTCTATTCACAGGTGACATAATCTTGTGTATAGGAAAGGCTAAGGAATCCACAAAAAAACTATTAGAACTAATATACCAGTTCAGCAAGATTGCAGGATATAAGATCAATATAAAAAATCAACTGTAACCTAAACAGACATTTCTCCAAAGAAGATGTACAGATGGCCAGCAAACACATGAAAAGATGCTCAATATCACTAACCATTAGAGAAAAGCAAATCAAAACCACAATGAGGTATCATCTCATGCCGGTCAGAATGGCCATCATCAAAAAATCTAGAAACAATAAATGGAGAGGGTGTAGAGAAAAGGGAACCCTCCTGGACTGTTGGTGGGAATGTAAATTGATACAGGCACTATGGAGATTCCTTAAAAAACTAAAAACAGAATTACCATATGACCCAGCAATCCCACTACTGGGCATCTACCCTGAGAAAACCATAATTCAAAAAGAGACATGTACCGCAATGTTCATTGCAGCACTATTTACAATAGCCAGGACATAGAAGCAACCTAAATGTCCATCGACAGATGAATGGATAAAGAAGATGTGGTACATATATACAATGGAGTATTACTCAGCCATAAAAAGGAGTGAAACTGAGTTATTTGTAGTGAGGTGGATGGACCTAGAGTCTATCATACAGAGTGAAGTAAGTCAGAAAGAGAAAAACAAATACCGTATGCTAACGCATATGTATGGAATACAAAAAAACCCTACTGATGAACCTAGTGGCAGGGCAGGAATAAAGACAGAGACATAGAGAACGGACTTGAGGACACAGGTGGGGAAGGGGAAGCTGGGACAAAGTGAGACAGTAACACTGACATGTATACACTACCAAATGTAAAATGGATGTCTAGTGGGAAGCTTCTGCATAGCACAGCGAGATCAACTCAATGCTTTGTGATGACCTAGAGGGGTGGGATAGGGAGGGTGGGAGGGAGGCTCAAGAGGGAGGGGATATAGGGAGATATGTATACATATAGCGGATTCACTTTGTTGTACAGTGGAAACTAACACAACATTGTAAAGCAATTATACTCCAATAAAGATGTGAAAAAAATCAATTGTATTTCTACACACTGGCAATGAATAATCCAAAAGTTAAATTAAGAAAACAATTCCATTTACAATATCATCAAAAAGAATAAAGTATTTAGGAAAAAAATTAGGAAATTAAGTGTAAGACTTGTACATGGAAAACTACCAAACACTGATGAAGGACATTAAAGATCTAAATAAATGAAAATACAACTTATGTTCATGGATTAGACTTAATATATTCAGATGGAAATATTCCTCAAATTGATCTAAAAATTTAATGTAATCCCTATCAAAATCCCAGCTGGCCTTCTTGCAGAAATTGACAGGATGATCCTAAAATTTATATGGAAACACAAAGGATCAAGAGTAGGCCTCCCTGCCCAAATCTTGAAAAAGAGAACAGTCGAAGAACCCACATTTCCCGACTTCAAAACTTACTTCACAACTACGGTAATCAAGACTGTGGGGTACTGGCATAAGAATAGAAATACAGATGAATGGAATAGAATTGAGAGTCCAGAAATAAACTCATATTTATGGTCAACTGATTTTCAACAAGGATGCCAAGACAATTCAATGGAGAAAGAGAAGTCTTTTCAACAAATGGTGCTGGGACAACTTGGTATCCACATGCAAAAGAATGAAGTTGAACCCCTGCGTCACAGTATACACAAAAATTAACTCAAAATGTATGAAAGATCTAAATGTTAAGAGCTAAATCTATAAAACTCCTGGAAGAAAACATAGGAATAAATTTTTTCGACCTTGGGTCAGTCAATGATTACTTAAATATAACACCTAAAGCAACAAAAGAAAAGCAACAAGAGAAAAAAATAAATAAATTGGAATTCATAAAAATGAAAAACTTTCGTGCTTCAAAGGTTAACTTCAAGAAAGTGAAAAGACGGCCCTTAGAATGGGAGAGAATATGTGTAAATTATATATCTGATAAGAGACTTGTATCTAGAATTTATAAATAACTCTTACAATGAAAATATAAATAACCCATTAAAAGTGGGTAAAGGATTTGCATAGACATTTCTCCAAAGAAGATATACAAATGGCCAATAAGCACATGTAAAGGTGCTCAGCATTTCTCACTAGGTAAATGCAAACTAAAACCACGAGACATCACTTCACATCCACAAAGCTGGCTTCAATTAAATAGATGAGCAAGTATTAGTAAAGATATGGAGAAATTCAAACCCTCATACATTGCTAGTGGGAATCTAAAATGGTGCCACCACCTTGGAAAACAGTTAGTTTTTGAGTAACAGTTAGTTTTTGAGTAACAGTAGTTACTCAAAAAATAAAACACAGAGTTACCACATGACCCAGAATTTTTAATCCTAGGGATATATCTGAGAGAAATGAAAACATATGTTCACACAAAAACTTGTACTCAAATGTTCACAGCAACACTTGAGTCGAAGTACAAGATAAGAGCCCAAAAGTGGAAACAACTCAAACGTCCATCAACTGATGATGAATGGATAAACAAAATGTAGCATAGCCACACAAAGGAATATTATTCATCCATAAAAAGAAATGAAGTACTGATATGTGCTACAACCTGTATGAACCTTGGAAACATTATGCTAAGTGAGAGAAGCCAGTAATAAAAAACCACATATCATATGATTCCACTTATACGAAATGTCTAGAAATACACAAATTCATAGAGACAGACAGTAGATTAGTGGTTGCCATGGCTCGGGGGAAGGGAGAATGGAAACAGACAGTGATTGTTAATGGGTTTCTGTTTGGGGTGATGAAAATGTTCTGGAATTAGATACTGGTAGTGGCTGTAAAATTCTGTTAACATACTAAAACTCACTGAATTGCACACTCAAAAAGGGTGAATTTTATGGTATGTAAATTATATCTAAATAAAGCAAATCAACAATCTATTTTTAGAAACCACCATAAATTCAGTTTTCAGTCATATCTTCCCATTTTTCTGTGCTCTTAACAATATGAAGGATGTAGGGGCTTGGCATTTACTGAACTCTTCCTGTGATGGTGAGGCCTCCCTCCCAGTGGTCAGCAAAGTAGGTCAGCCCTACTTTGCCTCAGCTAATGTGAGAAGTCAGAAGCACAGTTTATTTACAAGATGACAGAAATATGCTTTGTAACAAATCTTCATTTTCCATTTGCTGACCCAGACAGTGGAAAAGGTTAGAAGTAGTGAACTGCACCAGCACCTTATCTTCCTGTCCCGACTACTGTGGCAGTGTCCTGTTACCACTGTCTCCAGTTTTGCCTTCCTCACCACACTAGCCATTAGAGACTTTATTCAAACACCAAAGCTGATCATGGCACTCCTCTACTTCAAAAATTCCGTCCTTGAGAATTTGGACTTGATCCTGAGGGTGGAGTTTTCTTTGCTTCAGCACAGAAAGCAAGGCTTTTATGACCTTGCCCTGGTTGTTCTGTTCCTCTCATAGCATTTCCCCTGTGTCATAAGTTGGGGCTACCAAACTGCTTGTGGTTTCTCCAGCACTCTTGGCTACTTCATGTTGTGTCTGTGTTCATGTTGACCCTCTTCCAGGAATGATTTCCCTCTCCTCTCATCTTTAAACATTCTGCCTCTGAGGAATGTTTCTTACTCCACTTCGCAAAACTGACCTCTCCTTCCTTGGGACCACAGATACATTCTGTGAACATTTCTCTCTAAGCACTTAGAATACTTGACTTGTGTCCCTGTCTGAATTTCCCATGGGTTTGTTCATTGAGGACAGAGACCTGCCTCATTTGTACACCCAGGACAAAGCAAAGAGTCTGGCTCAGGGGGAAATGGAAGGAAGAAAGGAATTAATAGAAAAACTAGAAACATGAACCTATTCTCACTCCTTCCAATGTGGACCTTAGGAGAATCTTTATGGGATGGTCATTTTCTTTCCATTTTTCTAAATCAGAACAAACAAAAACAATCATGGACACAGAAGGAATGGAGGATTCCAAAAGTGCTTTTCTTTTCTTTTAAATGACCTCAGAACTGACAGGTGAGACAAGGTCTATCGTCATCAGCAGCTCTTTAGTGCTTATCAGAGGAGGTAGAAGAGGGCTGATCATGCCATTTTCCACCACCTTCAGAATAAAGTCCAAACTCCTCAGGAAATTGGTCAAGGCTGTCAGCCTTATCTACCACTATTTCTCATCAACCCTCCCACAAGAATCACTCAATTCCTGTTCTTTTGATATGCACCATGTTTTTATTCTTACATCTCTGCCTTAGTAAATGTGTTCTGTCCTAAGCCCAGCTCAAATAACCCTTTCTCTACTGAAACCCTCCCTCCTCTCTAATCCCCACCTCCAAACTGGGAGCCATCCCTTCTTCCTCTGTGTTCTCTTACCACTTTTCACTCTATGATAGCATTTTTAGCCTTTTATAATGTGTATGTATTTTTAAATTTTTTTTACATTTCCTCAGAACTTTGGGCATGGTGTGAGACACGCAGCAAGTGTGCAGGAAACAGCTGCCAGACTGAAGGACAGAGTGTCAGCAGAGTTGGTCATCATTCCGAAATGAAAATGGACAGCCAAGGCAGCAAGAAGGTAAAGATAATTAATAGTGGTTTCTCTCCCTAAACAGTGGGATATGGTCTCCTGGGAGCTAAGATTTCCACATGGGAATAAGAAATGTTTGCGTTCCAAATGAAACCATGAACGTTCTACAGCCCATGCAAGTAGGTCAAGCCATTCACCCAAGTCTAAAAGCGTCCTGTGTTTTTTAATTTTTTTCTTCTGAGAAGGACAAGTTCTCCTAACTGAATTCCAATCATCTGGGTCAATGTTTTAAAAGCTTGGTATCTTAGTTGTTTTTATTTTAAACTTTTAATCCTGTACATTCTTCTCAAGCCTCCGGGACCAGACGCTAAGCTCAGCTTTCAGCAGGCCTGATATAACATCACATACTCTACATTTTTGTGGCATGCCAGCTCTCTAAACAGAAAGAAAAATAGATTGTGTTCTAAACCTTGCCTTATAGACTAAAAAGTTCTTTTGGACAAATATATTTGACTAAACCACACTCAATCTTTCCTTTCCTTTCTTTTTGAGTTTCTAAACTCTATCTTTATACTTTCTCTTCACTTAAAAATGTCTTCAGACTGACAAATAAGGCCTTATATCACATTCTGAAAAGCAAATGATGAAAGATGGATTAAAAGGGAATAATTTAATGACACTACTTCGAAGAAGCCAAAAGGTGTTTAAAACTCCTCAGGAAGGAAGATTATTGATATAGGCTCTAAAAACTTACACAATTGGTATAATAAATAGAAAGGAAATAAGAAAAATATTATCTCTAAAGATCAACATTTTAAAGATGATTATACAGTAAAAAACTCAAAATAATAATTACATCACTATAGACATCTACTGGAAGGCACTATCATTTGAAGACACACTCAGGACAAATCACAGCAAATGTTTACTTGAGACCTGACAATCACTACAATCTTAGGGTGCTAGGGATTAAAGGCACTTAAAGATAACCCATTTAGACAGGAACAGTATGTTAATGAGTACAATTAGCTCTTTATTCCAGTAAGACAGGAATGTCATGGTCTCCTGGTCAGTCTCCCTGCCTCCAGTCATTCTATAGGTAGCTTCCAGAATGATCTTTAAAAAATCCCGATCATGTCCCTCTATCCAAAATTCTTCAGTGGCTCTCCACTTCCTATAGGTAAAAGATACACTCACTGTGATACATACATACCATTTATGATCTGGCCTTGCTTTTCCACTCTGCCCCATTTTGCCAACTCTGCCTCTTTCACTCTGCACTTAAGCTACCTTTAATTAATTACTGGTAGTTAACTGAACATTCATTTTTCTATCAAGCTTTAGGCCTTTGTACATACTCTTCCCTCTACCTGGAATGTTCTCCCTTGCTTGTCAATCTGGCAAACAACTACTCTTCTTTCAAGCTTGAAAACTTAGTGACCCTCTCCTAGACTCCTCAAGGCAGGGGCTTTTATTGAACCTTTAAATACCTGCATCACAGCAACTATCACATGAGCTCCTAAGAGGCCAGCCCCCATGCCTGTCTTTCCCAAAGAGCAGAAGTCCTTGAAGATAGCACTAGTATTCCCAGTGCCTAGCTTGGTTCCCAGGAGATAGCTGGCACTCAACAAACGAAAGTGTTAAAGCCAAAATAAATGGAATATATTTTTCTATTTAAATTGTAATTTCAATATTCACCCTTAATCTTTTCCCAGGGCTCATGACAAGTAACACAGATGAGAACGGGAAGGGAGAGGACAACAGAAGAGATGATCATCACCAAACTGGGAAAGATGCACTGGAGTTTATAAATATAGATGCCACACAGCACACTGTGCACCAGCCTTGTCAAATTAGTAGGCCTCTCCTTGGCTGCCCCCAGCACTCACTGTATCACCCCCTGGCAGTGGGCATCAGCAACTTAGGAGGAAGGGTCTTAATCTATTTGGGCATTATTACTGTGCTAGGTCCCACCACAGTTAAATGTAAGCACCAGCTGGCAAACCACAGGGGACATCAACTTCATGCCAAATGATAAAACAAAGCTTTAAGACCACTTCAGGCTCAGGCTTAGCCTCAAATAAAGAGATACATGGACCAATTTAAAGAATGTCAGTGGTGTAGCAGCTGACAGACTCAATTTTTAAAGATCTCATTAATGAGAACCTCTCCAAGAACAGAGATTATTTATTTGGGGGTAAGTTATCTATGTAATTTGAATATTGCACTCTGCCAACAAATTCCAGTACATGGGAAACTATTTTTAAATGTGAATGAAGCTAACTTAAAAGATAGGAACACAGTCTATAGTTTCTTTTTAAATAGAGATAATTACATTTTTAGGAAGTACAACAAATGCACAAACAAATGTTCAGAGCTGTCACTCTCACTTTTTTAAAAAACATCCAGATAATCTAAAAATGTGCAATTCTTTCATCTTTGGTTCAAATAGTTAACTTTGCATTGTGTGGCACAGAATTGTTATTCCTCAATAATTATTTGTTGAGTAAATGAATGAATGATATACTTTTCAGAATGATTTTTTTTCAAGCTGCCATTTATGATGACATTGCTCCATAATTACAACCATCAAGGCTGCCAATGTAATGACTTCCTTTAAGTTTATCTATTCTTTAAAATTTAACACCGATGGTCAATACATTGCCAAAGGAAGTTCTGGAGATAGAAGACTTTCAGGTGTTTTCTTTCAGTGTTTGAACAGTGCAGCCTTGAGGAGATGCTCTAGGTAAGTAAGATGAGAAATGTGGACAGTTTCACGTGGAAAGGAAACTGAGGTATGGCTTACATAATTCCTTAATTAGGAACCCCCTGATTAAGTCTCATTTTAGAAAAAAAAGCCAGTTGATAAATGAACACACAAACTAGGACTTGAAATTTTCCTGTATGAACTTTCCTCAGGAGAGCTCAGTTTCCCTAACCGGAAACTTACATAGTCAAATGCTAAGTCATTTTTGGCACATTCATCCAAACATGTTCTCAGCACCTTCTGTGTGTTTTAGATAACGTGCTAGGTTGTAGGCACAAAGAAAGAGGAACAAGCCAAAATTCTGTCCAGTAAAGGGAGACTAGATAGATCTTTCTAAAAAGTAACGTCTAGAGTACTCGGTTAAAAAGTGAGTGAAGGAGAGCTGAAGTCACCAACTAATTTCCAACAGAGTAGAAGTCATTACAAGATCCTGATTTCAGCAGGCTGATAAAGTGGTCAGGTGTGCCACATAAAAATCTAGCGATATTCTAGACATTTTGAGACAGACATAAGAAACGTGGGGAAATGTTGAAGGTCTGATTAAAAAAACTTTCTATCACTTCTTTAGGAAATCATTTTGGTGGCAGATACCCTGCTAAATTCAGTTTCGGGTGTATTAAAGTGCTATAGATCAGAGTTTGTTCAGTGATCATCACATATCACCATCACCCAGAGGAAAACCATCACTCTATAAGGGGCAACCTTCCTAAGCAGTTGTCAAGTGCATAAAAACCAATAATGATTTTTGTGCCCACAGAAGACAATACAAATCCCCCAAATAAGCAAGTCTTTAAAGCAGTGCTGTCCAACAGAACTTTCTGTGATGACAGAAATGTTCTGTATCTCTGCATGTTGAATACAGTAGCTATTAGCCACATGTGGCTACTGAGCGCTTGAAATGTTGCTAGTGAGACTGAAGAACTGAATTTTTATTTACATTTCAATGAATTTAAATTTAAATAGCCAGATGTGGCTAGTGGCTACCATACTGTATACTGTAGCTCTAAAATCTATAATTAATTCTGTTATAAACAAAATAAAGTTTGCTTTATTTATGTTAAGGACAAGAAAAAAGGCAGCTGAATTAACCCTGGAGAGGGATCTCTAAGGTGAAAAACAAATGGATGGTTCGCATAAGTCGGTAGCTTTTTGTGGGAATGGTTGAATCACAACAGCTCTTGTTATACCATAGCAGAGAAAGGAAGCTGTCTCAAAGGTAGAGGTCTAACGGGAGATTCTGACATACGGTAATGAAGGCCTATTCCAATCCAGTTTTTTTTTTTTTTTTGACTTATTAGTTTTCAGAACTATCTAAGAAATGTGGGAACTACAAAACAAATGCAAACCATGTCCCTTTGTTTCGCTATAACTAGCAGACCTTGGGGGACTGGGTCTGTCGCAGTACTTCGCTGTTATTTGTTATGTCTCCTCTGGTCCCTGTTGGCCACCTTGGTGTCCTGTCTCCTCTATCATGTTTCACTCTCTCAGTCATCAGTTGTATAGGCAGTCCACAACTTTTTGGACTTGGATTTTGTTGCTCTGCTTATTCAACATTTCTAATAAACATTCGAAATTATTTCTGCTTTATGTTACATTTTCTGGCTAGCACATCAAACATATTGAAAAAAGAAAGCAACAGTATATTTTGGTGTAGAAATAAAGGAACTTCACAATTATTAAGCACTTCTATGTATCAAGTACTTCTTTTGCCATCAGCCCTACAAAGCAGATGCTACTATTCCCTCATGTCAGATGAGGAAACTGAAGCTCAGAGATGGTAAATAACTGACCCACAATCATGTAGGTGGGCAGTGATACAGCTGTCATATAAACCTAAACTTATCTGATCCCCCAAACCTACGTTTTTTGCCTACTATATAATACTGCTTCCTAAGCCCACTTCACAATGCAATTTTCAGAAATAAATTCCACAGCAAAAATTATGGTAACCCTTAACTTCCCTCCTTCAGTTTCTTCCATCAGTCCATCCGCCCTCTGACTCATTTTTTTAAATAAAGAAGAAGAAATTAGGAAAGAAAATGAAAAAGAAATATGTAACTATACACCTAGACATAAATGAGTATATCCTAGAGATAGAAGACTTTACAACTAAAAATAGAAAAGTATACTGTTAGAGATAGAAGACTTTACACCTATAGATAGAGCAGTATACTCCTAGACATAGAAGACTTTACACCTACAGATAGAAAATTATACTTCTAGAGATAGAACGCTATACAGCTAGAGACAAAAGAGTGTACTCCTAGAGATAGAAGACATTATACCTAGAGATAGAAGATTATACTTCTAGAGATAGAAGACTATACACCAAGATAGAAGAGTATACTCGTAGACATAGAAGAATTTACACCTAGAAATAGAAAAGTATACTCCTAGACATAGAAGACTTTACACGTAGAGATAGAAGAGTATACTTCTAGAGACAGAGGACTATACACACACACACACACAAAAATAAAATAAAAAATAAATAAGAATAAAAAAAATAAAAAAAGAAGAAATTAGGAAAGAAAATGAAAAAGAAATATGTAACATGTGTTTGTGGAATGGTTCTAGAATATTTAAAAGGATCTGAAGCTATTATATTAGGTTTTGTTTCCTTTTGGTCTTAAAACACATTTTTTTTTTTTTAAAGCTACCAGGGCATTAAATTATAAGAAATTACTCCAAGGGATAGTTTAAAACTTCATGCAAATGATTTATTGAAAATATTAAAAAAGGTAAGTTCCAAATGCCACCTGAAATACTTGTTCCATTAGGAAAAATAACAACAACAAAACAAAAAATAATACCTATCAGTTTGTAGAACTGATGGAGCCAATCCTATCTATTATTCAGTTATTATTTTACTCACATAGTAAAACCTTTCCAAAGAAGCAACTAACCATGTATCATATCCTATGGAGTCAAGTTATCACAACTTAAGCACTTAAGGAAAGTTAGGCAACATTTTATGAGTATCACATACTTTTAAAAGTAAAGCAACAGGTAGAAAGAAAGATATTTTTCTGATGGGGCATCTGTAACTTGGTATTTTTGTACTCTATCATAATCTTTTTAAAAAAGAGTCTTAAATTTTGTGTCTCAAAGTAGATGACTTAAAAAAAAAGGGGGAGACAGCTGCAGCCCTTCAGTATCTTCTAAGAATTTAGTGGTTGCAATCATTATAGTCTAGTAATATAGACCAACTGGGTTCCAATCTTGGTTCAGTTCTTACAGGTTCTGTGACTCTGGGCACGGCACTCTGATGTACTTTCCTCATCTGAAAAATGGGGATAATAATTCCTAAGGTTGTTGTGAGGATTAAATGAGTTAATATGTAAGGCACTTAGCGTATTCTTGAAAGCAATGCTCTATTTTTTTCTAACAATCTACATAACTGGGACGATAATAAGATAAAACAGTTAACTTTAACTGATGTGGGCAAATGGATATTTTTAAAGAAAAGATGCCATAAGATAACATACAATCAGTAAAAATTTGTATATATTTTACTGAGGATGTCATGAAAGAAATTTCAGTGCAGTAAGAATGTCTGAAATATAATTCCTGATATATATGCTATCTGAGGACATATACTAAATAAAAAATAAAAAAATAAAATTTTCATCTCATAATATGTCTCATAAAATGTAAAAGAATGGAAAAAGTTCAATAAACCACTTGACTATAAAATCTATTCCAACTGGAAAATGGTATCCAAGATGGTTGCTTGGGTAAACTGCAAGGGTTCACTCTCCCCTACCCACAAATCACAGAAGGCTTCAGGAACTTAGAATGGAAGTCTTCTCCTTATGGAATGTATTTTCAACTGCATGTGGGTTGTTATGATTGAGTTTCCCAAAAGGACATAGTAGAGGGCTTCCCTGGCGGCGCAGTGGTTGGGGGTCCGCCTGCCGATGCAGGGGACGCGGGTTCATGCCCCGGTCCGGGAGGATCCCGCGTGCCGCGGAGCAGCTGGGCCCGTGAGCCGTGGCCGCTGAGCCTGCGCTCCGCGGCGCAGTGGTGAGGGGCCCGCGTACCACAAAAAAAAAAAAAAAAAAAGGACATAGTAGAGCATTTCTCCAATAGTTTTACCTAACCTTTTGGTCCTCTTAAGGATGCCCTTATTTCCAAGTACACTAGCTGATCATAGAATGATTTAGCCTTACAATAACCTGACAGAGGAAAAAGACAAAGAAAGGAGGTGAGACACTAGGTAGAAGAACGCTTTGATATTATATGCCACTGGTTTCCAGACAGATGTGAGAATTGGTCAGTGGTCCATAAGAATCTTACTAGGACTACGCATGTGGCAGTGCAGCTCATGCTACTCATCTCTCTCTTGACTTCATGGGAGAAGAGCACTAAGAAATCCTTGTCCAGCCCCAAGCTTTGCTTTTCAGAAGGAAACTCAGTGACCCTCAAGGGAGAGACAGATCAGAAGTCACTGGGCAGTCAAGGAAGAAGAGTGAAGATGATTTCAAAATTGAATAATCTTTGCATTAATAAGTACGTTAGAGATAATTTAGTTCAACCCTCTGTGTAGTGCAGGATTCGCCTTCACAGCATCTCTGAGAGATGATTCCTCAGGCTCTGCCTGAACACCTCCAATAACTGGGATCTTCCCTCCTCAAATCTGCTAGCCCCAAGCCAGAAATCTGGGATATATTATAGATTCTTTTTTTTTTTTAACATCTTTATTGGAGTATAATTGCTTTACAATGGTGTGTTAGTTTCTGCTTTATAACAAAGTAAATCAGTTATACATATACATATGTTCCCATATCTCTTCCCTCTTGCATCTCCCTCCCCCCGACACTCCCTATTATTATAGATTCTTTACATCATTCATATCCAATTAATCACTGAGGTAATTTACCTGTCAAATCTCCCTTAAATCTGTTCACTGTTCCCCTTCCCCACTATCTTAGTTGAGGCCTTTCTTTCTCATCCCTTTATGTGGTTCTGCAATAGTATCCAACTACCAGATTTCCTGCTACCAAATAATTTGCCTCTAATTCATCCTCACAAGGCAGCCTGCAGTGGACGTTCTAAAACACAAATCTTTTTTTAGATTTTCTTTTTTTTTGATGTGGACCATATTGAATTTATTACGATATTGCTTCTGTTTTATGTTTTGGTTTTTTGGTCGCGAGGCATGTGGGATCTTAGCTCCCTGACCGGGATCGAACCCACACCCCCTGCATTGGAAGGTGAAGTCTTTTTTTCTTCTTTTAAATAAATTTATTTATTTATTTATGGCTGCATTGGGTCTTAGTTGCTGCTCGCGGGCTTTCTCTAGTTGCAGTGAGCGGGGGCTACTCTTAGTTGTGGTGCCTGGGCTTCTCATTGAGGTGGCTTCTCTTGTTGAGGAGCACGGGCTCTAGACGTGCAGGCTTCGGTAGTTGTGGCTCGTGGGCTCTAGAGCGCAGGCTCAGTAGTTGTGGCGCACCAGCTTAGTTGTTCTGCGGCATGTGGGATCTTCCCGGAACAGGCCTTGAACCCATGTCCCCTGCATTGGCAGGTGGATTCTTAACCACTGTGCCACCAGGGAGGTCCTGGAAGGCGAAGTCTTAACCACTGGACTTCCAGGGAAGTCCCTAAAACACAAATCTAATCATATCATTCCTCTGCTTAAAACCCTTTACCCTTTAGTGGTTCACTACCACAAACAGCAAAAAAAATCCAAGGTTTTAGCCTGAAATGCATGATCTTGCCTAACTCTCCAGGGCACACCTCAGCAACACTAAATGGTTGTGTTATCCACACGTACCAAGCCATTTTGCATCTCCATACTTTTTGCTCATGTGTTGCCTCTTCTTTGCTCATGTTGTTACTCTTCTTTCCCTCTGTCAACCAGCTAAATAAGTTCAGAAATTATCTCCAGGAAGGCATCTTTCTTCCTTCTTAAAAAAATTTTAATTTTATTTAATTAATTATTTGTGTGTGTGTGTGGCTGCATCGTGCGGCATGCGGGATCTTAGTTCCCTGACCAGGGATTGAACCCACACCCCCTGCAGCGGCAGCGCAGAGTCTTAACCACTGGACTGTCAGGGAAGTCCCCTGGAAGGCATCTTTTGACACCCTTCCCTGTGTAATATAAAAATATTCTGTGTGGGGAATTCCCTGGCAGTCCATTGGTTGGGACTCTGCGCTTTCACTGCTGCGGGCCCAGGTTCAATCCCTGGTCGGGGAACTAGGATCCCGCTAGTTGCATGGCATGGCCAAAAAAGCAAAACAAAAAAATTCCATGTGTATTCTCTATCACTGCACTCATCATATTATACTGAAATCATTAACTAGCTCATCTCTTTCCCTCCAGGTGAGTCTCTCAAGGCAGGGACTATGTCAGAATCCTAGCACATGGCACAGGACTTATGGTAACAGGTGTTTAATATATGCCTAGTACAAATTAAATATAGGACTTTTTCTGATGTGAGTTAAAATGTATAACTCCAATTTCCAACTTTTGTCCCATGGAACAATAAAAACCATCTTTCCAGGGAAATAAGCATTAGGCTGGTACATAAAAAGACAAACTTTAAATACTCTTTACCTGACATTTGCACTTACCTAAGTTGCTGTATGTTGCACTACAGGGATTCGGGTCCATAGGACCTGAAATGTCTCCCTTTTCCTCTTCCCTTTCCAGTTCAGGCAGCGGCAATGCCGATGTGACTGAAGTACAGCTCCCACCATCTTGCTTCACAACAGTGCTTGGATCCCGAGGAGAAAAATCCTCTGTCACTTCACGGGTCACGTGACTGAAACAAATCAGACCACCATCACACTGGCATTCAAAGGTTTTTGCTAAAATATAGATTTGTGGAAGGCACATATTGCCATAAATGTAAATAACTGGCCCTATAGTCACAGCAATGGGTCAGAAACCCCAACATACTTGTCTGAATATAAGGCAGTCTTTCATGCAGGCAGATACTTCTATCATATATATATTGGGATACTTGATACATACTTGATTCATACATATTGAGAATTCAGTTTGGTAGAGGAGCTATAGTAGGCTCAGAGGGAAGTTTGAGAATAACAGGTAAGGAGTGGAACTTTTTTTTTAGGTAGTAGGGGTAGAGGGAACTGAATGCTTAACTTGTTAAAGAGTAATACACTAAAGTATTTAAGAAAGCATTTAGCATATTTACTATATTTACCATACTATAGTACAGTCATCCCTTGGTATCTGAAGGGGGCCGGTTCTAGGACCACCCACAGGATACCAAAATCCACAGATGCTCAAGTCCCTTATATAAAATGGCATTTGCATATAACCTACACACATCCTCCCATATACTTTAAATCATCTCTAGATTACTTATAATACCCAATACAATGTAAATGCTATGTAAGCAGTTGCCGGTGCACTGCGAATTCAATTTTTGCTTTTTGGAACTTTCTGGAATTTCTTTTCCCCTAATATTTTTAATCCATGGTTGGTTGAATCTGCAGATGTGGAACTCGCAAATAAAAAGGGTGAACTGTGCTATAATACTATAATAAATATGAAATACTTTACAGTATTTACTTTATTTAGTATATAATATTTACTACACACTAAAGTATTTACGAAACTATTTAGTAAAGGATCAGGAGTAAAGTTGAGATTTAAAAAAGGAAGTAAAGCAATTATTTTAGGTAAACTGAGGCCTGGAAGCCTTGTTGCTAGGAGCACAGTGAAGCATCAACCTTTTGCCTGTATGCATGCAGCAGGCAAGGCAAATGGAAAAGAAAGTTCTGACCTCTAGTTAATCTCATCTATTAAAATGAATCTGAAGCATCCCACTGGCCACATACCAGAGGATGGTCATCCATAGTGCTTTGTGTTTCCCGATCTTGTTTCACTGCTGCCTGCTCATTTGCTTATAGCTATCTCTTCCAGTCTTCCCCACATCCCACTCTGCCTGAACTTCCAATTCTGTTGCTATAGAGTACAAGGCGGTGTAATGATTATTAAATGTTGGTGGAGAAAACCGGCCTAGTTAGAAAATCTCATTGGGCTGGTTCAATGAAACAAATTAAAAATCAAGCACCTTTAATGGTTTCTGGGTCTACTAAAAGTATTCCTAGACTGTCACACACTCACCAGCTAGCTCTTCTTCCTGTTTTTTTTTTTGTTTTGTTTTAATGGGCAAAGAGGAAGAATGAAAGGAAACATCTTATATACTGTGACATGTTATTTCTGGATTTTCAAATGGCAGTGAGTCATGGTGACATTTACAAGTTTCTTTAAAAGAGGTACTTTGTTTGATCATGTGTCAGCAGAACATATATCACCTGTGGATTTGAGGGAGTAGATCTGAAGGAGGAGTACTTTCTTATCAATTTTTCATTATGGAAATTATGCATGTGCCAGAACAGAAAAATAAGCCTTGAAGTCTGCTGGATACACAACTTCAAAAATATTCTTTCAAAGCTGGCAGAGCCAGAGGTCTCTCTATACTGAGAGTAAGCAATGAGTGGGAGGTACCATTATGGAATCTGGCTCTTGGGGATAGGGTGAGGTGGGAAGGGATCAGTTCACTAGCAGTCAGCAGGGTGGTTTATGTAAAGGAGGCCTCACATGCTAAAGCATGCTGACTCTTCTTAATGGGCCGCCTTAGGTTATCAACCCAAAACAAAGCTAGTTTCTCATAATATGGAACATCATAAATTCAAGGTAACAAGGGGCTCTACTTCCACGCGTTAGCGAAGAAAGCAAAGTGACACTTCTGAGACCCTCTTAGACGCCACTTAGTGTCACTGAGAAGTTATCAACGTGCTTCAGGAGAGGGAAAATGATCTTTGCTGGGCAAAAGTTAATTTAAGCCATTTTAAATTTCAAAGCAATAAATATAGTGATTAAAAAACATCATCCCCCTTTGACAGGAAAAACATTAAACCTCCAGACGCTCTCTTCTTATTCTCGAGTCAACTTGAGAGGTTTCTAAAAAGGTGTTTTTAGGTTCCTAATCTCTGCAGCCTTGCTCTTGCCTTTTCTCTTATTTCCCCCAATCTCATCGTTATTACTAAAAGGAAGCTCTCTTTTCTATTTGTCAAAAATGATTGGTGAAGGCGGGTTCAGAAACCATGACTCCACCCTTGCTTGTCTGTTTTCCTCCCAGGGAATGGGCTATTTATATTAAGCCTATTGTAAAAACTACAAGAAAGAGTTGCTGCTATTAACCAGTGAGGAATTCCCTGGTCCTGTTCCCACATACATGAAACATAGCTCTGTACTCTTAAGGGGTTCTCAAAACAAAATATGGATGCTAAAAAGCAAGAAATATTAAAGACTCACCCACTGTACTCACTCATACAATTCCCCATTAAAGGAAATTCTACAGGGCCTTCTTCAGTCTGTTAATCATGTTCTGAAGCTCTGATGAACCATCGCTCCCACTGAGTTCCGGAGGACTACAAGTCGGGCAAGATATAAGAGGCTCGAATCCTGCACCTTAATATAACCCACTGCACCTTGACCTTTACCTGAGGGGTTTGGTCTGGGAAATGAGCCAAATTACCTTTGGGAAACTAAGCAAAGTGAAAGCTAGTTTTATTAACTCTTTGAGGACCAGGGCAGCACAACCTATATTCTCTACAAAGGTCAGTTTTCACAAGCACATTTTAAATAAGTGCACTGGTATATTAAATCACCAGTTAAAACAATTGTCATCTATGAAGAACTATGCAAAAGAGTTGATGAAAGTTAAATCACATGGATTTGCAAATGGATACTAAGATGTTTAACCTGCATTACACTGCATTTACAGCAGTGTCTAAAAGGAAGAACTTTAAAAAATGCATCAATGATATGTCATGTCGATGCTTGAGGGAAGAAAAGCTCTTTGTATGATTAAAATGGTAAAAGAGAGAGGAAAGGGGAAAGGAAGAGGTTTTGAGAGTTCAAGCTTAGATGTGGTAACATGCTGTGACTAAAAAATGAAAAAGAATCAAGAACAGCATCAGAGAAGGTGATTCAGTCACTATGAATAAACAAATTGTCCAGGAAGAAAAAAGGAAGCAAAATCCTATAATTAATTTATCTTAGGCATATTAATTTTATAAGGGAATATAATTTTTGACCATTGACTTTTTTAATGTTTCATATTTAGATATAAAATCAGAAAACCCTCCCAAATAGTAATATGACACTTTCCAAATACAGGCTTTATCTCCTAACAAAGTGGTTCACCACTGACCTTTCATTGGGAAATGTTTGATGTAATGGAGAAAACACCAAAACAGGAATCAGAGAACCCAGATTCTGTTTCCCTATTACTTTGATCTTCTGTACAAACTGGATGACAACATCAGGAGGGAGTTAAAGGAGAAAATGAAATGTCCCCCATTTCGCCCATGAGATAGATGGTTAAAAAAAAATTCTTTAAAATGAAATTACAAGAAATCTACTAGGATTTCTAATACAATATATCTTAGCACATGTCTTGAAGTAGCAAATAATGATGAAGGTAATGATTTTTTTCAGGATAAGTACAAGTTGATATTCATTATTATAAAACAGAACTGTTAACTAATAAATGGCCCACAGAGAGGAAGTTATGGCTTTTCTATTCCTGCTATTTAAATTCATGTTGAAACAATCCCTAGTTCTGTAATGCAATGTAGGATATCTGTAGTAACTATGGCATTGACATCTAGGTCCTTGATCATCAGGCTGGGTCAAACCCTGACTTTGTCTCTCTTTTCCTGACCCTCAGCATTTGTTCTACTTTCAGAATGGGAGATAGCACGCATTTCTTTTTACCTCAAACTCTTTGACCAATGTTTCATTAATGACCAGTTTTTAATTGAGATTTGGTAATGTCTGACCTGACACAAAAGAAATCACGTCACTATCTCCACAAAGACACATCTCATTTTCTGAACATGGAGGATGAACTTAAGGTATTCAAAGGAAATGGTAACATTGTTACAGATTTGTCTGTAATACAAATGAAGCCCTTGGTAAGTTTATATCTCAACAGTCTGCAATAGTCATACATAATTCAAAGCCGCAGAAGCAATCTGCGGGAAGCTCACTTGGCTTACCCAGGTAGTAGGATTAATCATTACACCATCAAATGAAATAATCCTTTTTTTTTCCCCCTGGCAAATTCATTCAAGACAGATTTTGGTAGAAATTCTGTTAATGTCTGAATATACTTTTTAAAAAGGCAAATCAAATGCCACATTAGAAAGGATTAAAGGCCTTTATGTATCCAAGTATTTCCACAATTTCAGTTCAACTTTTTCTTCAAATTCAACCACCTTCATTCAGCTTCAGAAGGGACAGTAAATGAAATCAGGCTTCTATAGAGACCATCTGCCTCTTGGGGCAAATGGTATCCTAAATTCTCATTTGCCAGCTCTCTTCAGCAGCTGCATCTGTCTTTAGTTGTCCAGGTCAGCCAATAAGCAAATGCGTGATTTTTAAAACCTCCTTTTACCCCTAAAGATCAGATCAAAGCAATCAGAAACAGCATTTCATGGTTTTATTACTGGCTTCCAAAGCTGCTTATTTCTGGAGTTGCTGGGGATGATGGACCTTTGCAGAAACGGGATGTGAATCAACACGAGGAGGAAAGATCAAAGTTATCGAATCCCACACTGTTTATTTACTGAAAGGGGGAAAAACTCCATTTCCTTCTGTCTCCCTACCTCTAGGACCTCCCACCAATATGACATTTCTTAATCCTATCTTAGTTTCCAGGTCATCTACTTGATTTCGCTACACTTTCCAATTACTGGCATTCTCAGGTAGAAAAGTGTT